AATGTACACATAAGTGCATCTTTTGGTATGTATTTAACATGTATGTAATGAGGCCAAGAGCCATTTACATTGAAGTTTACTTTTAAGTACCTTTGGTTTCTTGTATAATTATAGAAAAATGAAGAAATTGGAGGTTTTAATATGTCATTTTTATTACCGGATGTGTAAAGTGTGCATAAGCACACCCTTTAGGACTCTTTGTATATGCATGACGTGTGGCCAAGGATCAAACGGTCTTTTGAATGCATCTATGCAAGTTGATTTCAAGTTTTACCTTTAAATGTCATTTTAGGTAAATTTGAGATTTAATAGGTCGTATTTTGCATTGGGTATATTTGGGGGCCGTGGACCATTCCCACGTACTTCAAAACACTTATTACATTTGTGTGCACAATTGTTTTAGCATACAATCTCACATTCGACCAAATGAACACTTGAAGCAAAATTGCATTTTATGTAAAAACTGAGCAGAAGGGCATTTTGGGGATTTCACATCAAAAATAATTTTTTTTTACATGGTCAGCTAGAAAACATGAATTTAAGGAGGGTTTCTTCTTTATGTTTTTCCAAAATAAGTCGTTTAAGGTCCTGAATCAGCTATCTGTTCTGGAAAAGCTGCTAAATGGTGGTTTGCTGCTGTCAGCAGCCTTGCCCCGCGCGTGGCACGCATCTTGTGCGCACGTGGGATGCACCATCGCGCGCACATGTGGGTGCCCTTGGTGCCCTCCTTGGCCGCCTTGACATTGATTTTTGTTTTGGCCTTATTCCTTCGCACGGATTCCGAATCAAGTGATTTTTGAGTCTAACTTTATTAATTTTTCGTTGTCTATCCAACGGTGGGCTCGGTGACATCTATATCTTTTTGAAAATGACCATATTACCCATAGGGTTGCATTTGTCCGTTTTTAAAACATCGTTTCTGCTCCTTGAGTCCCGTGGCTTCATGGGAAGTTATGCTTATGTCTTAGGGGTGACGTATATCTCTCGAAACTTTGTTTTTGTGTGAAAAGACCATATTGCCCTTGGGCCCATACTTGGTCTATTTTCAACCCTATCTTCCGTTTTCATTCTCGTTGAGTTCCATGATCTCATGGAAGGTCACTTTGGCGTCTTAGAGATGTGTTGTATTTTTAGAGACCTAAGTTTTGTCTTTCGCTTCCGCATTCGAATCCGATATTGGATTAACCTTCGGGATATCACAGGACGCACTGGCTTGTAAAACCAGGACCGTCACACAACGACCGTTTAATCACATTCTAGAGAAATGAACCTATTTGAAGTGGCTCGTTCTTATTGGAAAAGCCCATATATGAACCACCATTAATTTTTTTTTTTATATTTATTATTTTGCTCAAAAAATATATATTTTTATATTACTCCAAATCGTCCACCTTTAAAACAAAATATGAGAAATCAAGATTAAGCATGATGGTTGCATTGTAAGTGATGAGGATAAAAATAATAGGCAACTCAAAGTCAAAATAAGATAAGGGTAAGGGATTTATCCTCCCCAAAATCTCTATGCAATTATAAAAAATCTTTGGTTACCATGTGTAACGATAATTATCATTCCTGTAAGAAGGAAACGATATCATCTTGGATCAGGGAGAATCTCGCTTCAACAATTACTACTATCAATGCTTCTATAAAAGAAATGATCAATCAACCTAAAAAGGGTGGCCATAAATTTTATATGTAATCCTTATCGGATATTAGATCGTCAAGTACTAACTTGACCGTCGGAGTGCACCCGGTCGGCATCACGCCGGTCATCACTTCTCTTGTTTTGCAGGAATCGCCACTGACTCCGGAACATGTAGATTTTTGACATCAACAGTAAGCATGGTTCGCAGTCGCGATCGCGGTGTAACGGACTTGAATGAATTTCGATGTAATCTACAGATTCGTGAAAATGTGTAATGGTATCAGAGCCTTTAAAAAGAATTACGAGCCAATCGATTCGACAAACCATGATTTTAAGAAAAGAATACAATAACTATAAATGTAATATATATATATATATATATATATATATATATATATATATATATATTAACAGATTAATAGAGTAAGGGAGTTCGTATTTTTAATCTATAGAAGTAAAAGTTGGGTAAGTTGTAAATGAAAACCATTAGTGCCACAGGTGGTTGATCTATGCTCATTATTTATTTATTTATTTATTTATTGTATATTTTTATTTAAAATTGTTACATTCGTGCATTAGTCGCGAAAGAAAAGATTCCTAGTGCAAATGTTGTCTTAGAAACATCGTTATTAGCACATTATAATAAAGTGCTTCTAAGGGTGAAATTTTTATATAAACAGAGCAGGGCTTGCACGTGACCGTGTTATTTGGGGAGTAGCAAAATTTTTAAATCCAACGGTTAATACTGAAACAGCAATGAAGACAATGTACCCCCATCTCAACCAATCCGTACAAGGTTAGGTTGAATCAGAAAAAGAAAATGGCGGGAGTATGGGTCTGTGTCCATAGAATATTTGCAGTCACGTGATCATATCAACCTTTGTAACACAATGGATGGTGATCATCACATCACATAAATTGCATATACACACATATATATAATATGTATGTATGTATGTATATGTGCATGGCTCTACGCGCATGCATGTTTTGTTGACTAAAATGACATAAGTAGAGAGAGAGAGAGAGAGAGAGAGAGAGAGAGAGGAGGAGGAGGAGGAGGAGGAGGAGGACAAGTGGGCTACGCAAGTAGAGATGAGTGGACCGGGAAGATCGCTTTGTTTTCCCGCCAAGGTGATGATGTGGAACCCACGAACCCTCATTTCCCGCCAAAAAACAACCCAACTTCTCGGCGAGGACGGAAGAACTGTGCGACAAGTGGTCTGACTCTTGACAAGTGTCCGCCAGCTGTTGATCCCAGCGATGACGTAGAGGGCCAAATGCATCATATTGTAACAATAAATGATACTCCTATATTTTTATGTGTATACATATATATATATATATAGAGAGAGAGAGAGCATTAACTCTTCGCTTTTTTTTTCGGAAGTCTTCCACCGAAAATGGATGGCGGTGAAGACTGGTGACGTGTTATCTGTAGATGTCCTTGTCATTCGGTAACAGCTCAGCCGTCAGATCAACCTGTTTGCAGTCAGGAGAGTTTGTTTTACTATTGGAGGATATTGGTCTTTGATACACCCTTTTCTATTCTAAATCACCCAATTTTTTTTGCAACAGTAATTATCGCTCTCACACTTGGGATACATTTTTGTTCTCAGGCTCTAATTTAATCACGCTCTCACTTAAATTTTTATTATTTATAATTTAATTTTACTGTTTTTACATCTCAATTTTGTTTTTGCTCTACGTGACTCAAGCGTTATATACCCTTTCTAATTTGTTGAGATCTCACCTAAGTGTTTTTTTAAATTTTTTTCGATAATTACATCTTAAGCTATAAGTTAATAAGCAAAACATATTGTTAAGTATTTTTATTTATAACAATATTTTTAAAATGCTAAAACAAACACATACAACAAATTTATCATCATACCACATCGACCTAAGAGACATGACAATTATAATTTTTTTAACTTTGACAGGAAACTCAACTCAATGACCCGGATCAGGAACTACCCAGAAATATAAGTGAGGGATGGGGGAGACAATGTGAATTTTTTTACTTATAGGTATATATATCAAAACCCTAAAAATTAAGAGTATAATACTAAAAAAAATAATTAAATGATTGCTCCCACTTAGACACACATTGGGTCGTACCTGATCCGAATTATATGAAGATATTAATTTTTCATGTGAATTCACAATCAGAATTGTTGAATTTCATAAATAAACAAATACAAAAATGTGAAAATTAGTATGGATCATTCTAAAGACACTATGGTTTATTCCTCAGCTTAAACTACATTCTAAAGAAGATTCAAATTCAACGGATATATTTGGAGCTGATTCTCACCCTTAGATGATGCTGCTTTTGCAAAGGTTGGAGCACTTGCGACTCTCCTATATGATACAATACAATATATTTCACAAACTTCATATATTATAGTATATACATATACATATTAAAAAAACCTTAACATTTGCATATTGTAACTTGGGCTATACAAATAATTTTTATATGCTTTTTGTAATGGGATTATAATACTCAAAACTAATGGTCTAACCGACAATGCTAGTCAAGTGATTTTTATTAATTTGTTGAATATTAATAAGGGTTAAAATTGTAATCAACTCCTAAAAAGAGAGGTTAATTTGCTAGTCACTAAGGTGTGGCGATGCTGCTCAAGTGATAAAAGGATCAGATCAAAAGTATCCCCACCCTACCGATTTTAGGTTCAACTCCCCCCCTCTCCCAATTAACTACTAACCATTGCCACGAAAAAAGAAAAAAGAAAATAAAATTTGCTAGCCACTAAACAAGGGTATATTTGAAGAGGCTAATCAGTTCTCTACTATCAATTATTGATCATATTCTAAAAACATTGCTGTTTTTTTTTTTTTTTTTCCGAAAGATTATCTGTATATATAATGTAAATAGTATATGGAGGGCCTTGGGCCAGAACTAGCGAGAAACAGAACAGGCCCAAAATTGGGCACAACACTAGACACCTTAGCCTATTACAATCGGCCCATTACTATCAAATAACAAAAATTAATGGACAAATTAATTGTTGGGCTCGCCCAAACAGACCAACTATCATGAGGCCTTCTCTTTTACACTATCACTAAGCTTTATTCGGATTGTCACAAAAAGGAAATTGAAACATGCATCATTTAACAAATTACCTCTTTTTCACAAGCACCTCCATTTTTTTTTTTTTAAAGTTGAGTACTGCATACATATTATCTCATAGTTTTGTAGAGTTGACATGATTTAAATCCATTTTGATTCAGTTCAATTTTCTAGAGTTTGGACTATCTAAATCCAAATTCGATTTGGATTCAAATTCACTTCATTTCATGCCCTAAGACCCAAAAGGAACAAAGCAAATCAAAAGAAGAAGTCCAATTTTATAAAGCCAAGAGACACAAATCCAACATTCTAAAGGCTTTAATTAATAAAACATGAGAACTGCATTACTATTTTAAACTACAACATCAATGGAAAAAGCTCTAAACAACCAAGGAGGATCTGACCCTCACTTTCTTGGCATTTTCTCAGAGAAAAGGATGAGCACATTTTAAAACTCATCTCCTTTCCATCAAGAGATCCCTGATGAGACATTTTAAATGGTTCAACAATTGGAAGGAAAAGAAAATAATCAAGATAAGTTGTCCAAACAGAAGTAGATAAAACTACTTGTCCTCAAGCTTTGATCCCCATTTTCCAGGACATTGAGAATTTTTTGCCTAAAGGCAGCTCCAACCCTTTAATCTCTACCATCATACTCTTCCTCTTGTCCCCTCCACCTTCCAGCTCCTCTAGGTACCTCTGTTCCGTTGCACTGAACTTCACATTCGTGACATCCACAACCGGATTTCCCTCAACTTCAACCGCGAACTCTCCTCCTATTGCATCCAATCCCAACACTGTTACCTTCTCTATTTTCCAGCCTTTCTCTAAAGCGAATTTGCCCTCCTGAACGTTCGACCACACCTTCACAGTTCCTTGTTGGACGTTTGCATAGAAATCAATATATGTGGAATACCCATTGCCGAGTTTCATTTCTGGAAGCTCATCCTCGTCGAGGAAAAGCTGTCCTTTGGCTTCTCCCTCGGTGGCACCTGCCGGGAAGGTCACTATGAGGCTAAACGGCGTCATTCTTGCTTCCTTAGAAAGCAGTCCTCCCTGCTGCATTGGGAGTATGGTGTTCTGATACACATGCACATTGATCACATGCAAAGGTGCATCAAGTGTAAGGTAGTGAGCTTCTTTTGTGACAATGGCTTGTGTCATATCGAATAAACTGTACCATGTACCGGGGGGAAAGAGTGCTTGGACTTCTGATTTCCCCTGCTGAAGCACGGGAGACACCATGACACTGCTCCCTAGCAAGAACTGTGTGCTCACCTCGTAACACTTGGTTTCAGTAGGGAAAGAGAAGAAGAGTGGCCTGGCAATTGGTGCACCGCTAACATGAGCTTCGTAGTTTAATGTGTACAGATATGGAAGGAGCCTATACCTCATACCAAGAGCATTTCGAGCAGACTCAGCCACGGATGTCCACTGATAAAGCTCCTGTCTTGGGGAATAAAAGTTTGCATGATCCCTTGAAAAGGGGTAGAAAGCCCCTAGTTCAATCCAACGGTTGCAAAGCTCTTCTGTAGGTTGTGGATAAAATCCACAAATATCTGCTCCCACCATTGGAACCCCAAAAATGCCAAAATTCAGCATGGTAGAAATTGAATAACGCAAATTCTCCCAAGTGCCCTGATTATCACCTGTCCAGTGTGCAGCATAGTGGCCTGACCCGACAAAAGTGGAACGAGATAGTACAAATGGCCGCTTGCCTGAAAGCCCTTGAAGAGCCTTATGAGTTGCAACCGATTGAGAGAAGCCATAGATACTATGAGCATCGTACTCCAAGACTCCTTTGTAGTGAACTGCACTGGTGGCTATGGTTTTGTACCCTACTGGCACTTGCAATCCTGAAGCATTTATCTTGTATGGTGGATCGTCCCATCTTGTTTTCGTTATGTTCTTGCAATCCAAGCAACAGATCCAACCAGGTCCACTTCCAGTTGGACACTGCTTCCCCTTTGGGATTGTACACAATCCAGAACAAAAATTCGAAGCTTCATTCATGTCAATCCATAGGCCATCAACAGGAAGAAGTTCATGGAATCTCCGGATTTCGTCACCCCACCAATCAACGGTTTTTGGGTTAAGGAAATCAGGGAAGTTGACAGCTCCTGGCCAAACTTGGGCTAGGTAAGGTTTACCTTCATACTTGATGAAAACATCGTTGGCCAAACCCCTTTGGTAGACACCATAGCTAGAATTAACATTAATTCCAGGATCAATGAGGACAATGTACTTCATACCTCGGGAATGTATTTTGTTCAGAAATGCCAACATCTTTGGACGAGGGAAGTTCTTAGGGCTGAGGGTGAAATCCTTGTGAAAATCCATGTGATCGTCATCAGTCCACATCACATCAAGTGGGATTTTCGCCTTTCTGTAGTTCTCAACAACGTCTTCAACTACCGATATATTATGGTAACCCCATCGGCATTGGTGGAATCCTGTAGCACCAAAAGAAAGAGAGAAAAATGTGAATGGCGGATATATTGTAAGTAAAGAAATTTAATTATTTACATGTCCAGATTTTGCAGGCTACTGAATTCTAGTGATGGTAGATTAGACACATTAATCGGGGGTTTTTGAATATGCAATGCAGAAACATTCTTTTTGTACATAGCTGATGATTAAGATGGAACTAGGACTGCATTTCAACCTGGCATGTAAAGAGGGAAGCTTATAAACATTCCGTGCTCATGGTTTTACAAACGTGTCTACACAGTTATGAGGCATCTACACATACAAGTGACGACAACTTCTCCCTCCCAAGCGATGAGGGACGTCACACCCTTAGCATCATCAAGGGAGAAAAATGCATATCAGATACTACATTAATATTTTTACCACTTTTAAGTTAGATTGATATGGTCAAATACAAGATATCTGATCATTTGTGGTAATAGAAAAGGATAATGTAATCACTTCCAAGTAAGGAGCGTGGGAATGTAGCCGCTAAAAATGAAAATGATATCATCTCTGAAAAAATTATACATCCTGAAAGAAGCAAAAATGGTTCGAAATCAATAGCGTCATCCCATTTGCCATCTCCAACTCATTCAAGCATTAGTAGAAAAGATCACAGTGACAAGTCATTTCCCATATATTGACATTTTACATAATCTGGAAATGAGAAATAATGGTGAGGCCAATATCAATTTTTTAGTTCTCTCCTAACATCCTTATATTAGTTACATATGTATATAATTCACAAGCATGTAAGCAAATTAACGAAGATATAGGCACACATGTGATATCCAATGGTCCAAAAATCAATCTTAGTTCCAAAATATCTACTGTAACTTTTATAAAATCTAGCAGTAAAAATTGAACCCTACTATTTCTCCACGCATTTTTCTTGGAAAAAATCCAGACATCACAACCACACCCTCATGTGCCAGGCTGCCAGCACCACCTTAGAACCTTAAATGTACTTCACCATGTCGTGAAAAAGCCCATACACATTTAAGATGCCTTTGGTACAATGTCCATCTTCTAAACAGTTGCACATCACAGTATCACATGTGAACTGCAAGGTGGTGGACCTATGGAACTATAATTATCATAAGCTTATAAGCTCCGTAATACTTTCAAAGGACACGAGCGATAGAAGTAAATTATTGTCAGCATGTCTAAATTATTGTCGGCATGTCTACTATTAGAATTTAGTTGGACCCATTCAATCAACATCACAGAATGGTCGAAAAATTTCCGCCTCCTGTGGAGAAGATAATATTTATATGGCAACATGAATGCATTGTATGCAACAAGGGTTAAGAAGTGGTATTTTCAGGGGTCCACTTGTTGCTTTCTACAAAGGTAATGTGAAAAGTGTAGGGTTTTTGGCTTGTAAAGTTGAGGAGAAAAGAGAACTTTCAACAATGACAGAGAAATATCAGAGCTACTAACTTTGATCATGCGGGCCTAAAAAGATTTTTTCAAAGAACTACGCATCAAGGAAGAAGATTTTGTAGATTCAATGGTTGATTATGGGAAATTACAGGTAGGAAAATGATGCCAGCTTTAATCCAACACACCTACTTTACTAAAATCAACAAAGAACAAAACATCTCTATTCTTAAACGTCTACGTAACACCGCAAACATACATTAGTCAATCATATCATTAATCAATATTTACCCAAAAATCATATTAGAAATGAGAATACCTAATTCAATATAATATAAATGTCACATTCATGATTGATGGGACAATCACAATCATTTGATCTTGTGTTATGCAAAACAATAATCCCGGTCTTATTTTTATCATTTTAGAATAATAATTTTTTATTTTTTTTTAGTTCTCATAGTTTATGTTTCTTTTTACCATGGCATGGAACTCCCACATCTACCAATACGGAATTGAATGCTCGACCTTCTATTAGGCTTGGATGAGTTCGAGATGATTTAAAATCCCAATCTAAACAAACTTTCATTCTGAAACTCACTAATCTGAACTCAACCCACACACTCATTGAGCTTAGGGTCAAGAAAATATTTTTGAGCTTTGGACTATTTTGTCTCAAATTACTAAATCTAGTAAAACACCACAAATAATCATGTTCTGACATAATTAATCCTACTGAAATGAAATCTAGGTGGGTGTTCCAACAACCCAAATTAATTCGGACCTAAAATCTTCAAACCACATTGACTAGCACAAGTAAGTAGCACCTTCAAGCCAAGGCTATATATATACATATATATATGAATAACACCCCAAAATAATATTAATAAAATGGAAAAATAAAATAATAAATGTGAAATGTACCTAGAGCCCAGTACGGCATTGGAGCAGGCCGGCCTATTAGGGCAGTGTACTGATCAACGACAGCTAGAGGTGTGGGACCGGCAAAGAAGTAAAAGTCGAAAACACCCCCAATGACCTTGTATGTCAATGAATTCCCTGTATAAAACACATCCATCCCATTGCTGTTCAACAGCAACACTGCATGGGCATAGGCCTCCCCACCCACATTCCTCAGGTCCATGTACACAGGGTGGGACCCATACAGATCAGTGTTGAGATTAATGGCTGATACATCAGTTGTGTACAGAGTGTAAGGATCGTTTGGATACAGTTTAATCCCATGTGGCTGTGTGTTCTCACCCAAACCATACAGCGAAGCATCTTTGGGCAATCTGGTTGATATCTCCAGATACTGATCCTTAAACACCAAATTGTTATACGGGTCTGATTGATCAGAGCTGGAATTGAAAAGGGCCTGACCGTCTGATTTCCTCTTCACCGCAAACCCAAATGGGTCCGCGGTGTAGCAGAATATGAGCTCACTTCCTGAATACTCTGAGACTGTTACTGGGTTCTTTCTTGACCTCCCAATGGTCTGCTTCAATGAAGGAGGTTGTTGTCTTGGCAAAAGATTGTACGGTACTTCCCACCTTTGCTTCTCTGCGTCTGTTATGTATACCCTCAAACGATCTTGAGTTTCATGCCTGAAAAATAAGTTGGTTCTTGGTGAGGTTCATTAAAAACCATAGACGTGCAAAGCATTGAATCATTGATTTTTTTTTTTACTAAATTGGCGAACTAAATCGTGAAATAAAACTAACACATTTAATTGCATAATTTTTTTTAATTTCGTAATATTGTTATTAACAAAACTCGAAAACTCAAACATTTGAGAAATCATACTATCTAGACTAATGTCGGATTGAAATTGAAGTATTAGCGGTGTGTGGGGGACTTACTTGACATAGAGCAGCAAATGGGGGATATCGGGGCCGTAGATTGAGTTCTTCTGCTTGACTTGGAGGTGGCCCACAAGACCTCCATCAGGGGTCTCGTCAATGGAGATCAGACGGTAGCCCTTGCCGATCTTGGTTGGGACAGTGGAGGTCGAATATACACCAGCTATGCACAGTAGCAATACAAGAGCAATAGATAGTGGAGTAGAAGAAGAAGAAGTGACCATGATGCTAGTGAGAGACCGGAGTGAGAATGTGGCCTCTCGGGACTGTTTGGGGTTGATATAAAGGGCAAAAAAAAAAAAAAATCTAGAGAGAGAAAGAGTGGAGTGGAGAGAGAGAGAGAGGGGTCATGATCCATGGAATACATGTGAGGTGGATGAGGATAACAGGACCTCTTTGATTGCTTGCGAAGGTGATGATGTTATTTGGGTCCCACAGTCTTTGCCTTTCCTTGACACGCAGTGGTCACACCTCTATCTCACACACACATCACTGGCTGTGATTGGGGTAGTTGGGGGACAATTTCGTACCAACGCGGGTGGTTCTTCTCTGTGTAATTTGGAAGTGTATCAATTTAATACGGTACGACGCGACATAGGAAATCGGAGAGACTAATACGCGAGCGTCTTTTATTTGGAAAATTGAGATTGAAATTTTGTTTGATATGAGGAATAAAGAAACCCGTGATTTTCGCAGCATCCAATCACTCAATCCTAACAAATTTTCCAATGTTAACAGTAAAATAATAGTCTTAGTCATGTGGATAAGATTGTGTATAATCAGATTAATGGAAAGAACTTCACTAATCCAAAACCTACTGGAAAATGAAATGAAAAAGTGATTGAAAAAGATTTATTATATTAATTGATAAAAGTTTATGCGGAAGGATGAAAAGGGTAGTATTGGAACAATATGACCGTAATAATAATAATAATTTAATATTGTCTTAGCTCGTGTTGTTACTTAAAAATTAGAATACAATTCTTGCAATCATTTTTAAGAAACAATTATTTTACTTGGTTTCCAAATCTCAGTGTTAAGTACAATCTAATTGCAATTATTCTCCAAAGCCCAAATTTTGAGAGATTTTGTCCATGTGAATTTGACATTTAGTATTGCGTGTCACATATTTATTTATATCTTTTTACGTGTTAGTAATAGATGATAATTTAAAATAAAGAACATTTTTAAATTATTCGAATAACGCACCAGGATTAAAGCGTTTGTACCGTATTTTTTGAAATGTACAGTCTAGTGATAATTTAAAATAAAAAATATTTTTAAATTATTCGAATAACACACCAAATAATTGAAATTTAACTTTTTTTTTTTTTTTTTCATGGAGGCTTTATTGTGCTTCAGTTTCACCTTTTTGTCTTAAAGCAAGAATTCAATACTCTTATTAACTCAGAACATAATGTAAAGATGAAAATGTTAATGACGTTTGTTGTCTTTTACTGTAGCTAAAGGTGCTTTACATTGGTATGCAGATAATTGGTACGATTTGATCAAATGGCATCTCTCACTTTCAAAGGAAAGTCGTTAATCTTTATTTACGAATGCCTTCGTAGCTTAGCGGTGAAGGAGGTTGTTTATTTTTTTCGAAGTCCGTCTTTTGATTTTTAATTTTTAATATAATATTTTTGTTTAAGAAAAAAAAATAATAAACTTTATTTAGCAACTTCTGTTTGTGGGGGTTCTTGAATATATGTCAATATTACAAAAGTCATTTCTTTTATGCACCTATGTCCATATTTATAATCCCAACCTTTATATGAGTTTTGAAGTCTCTCAAGCCTCTTCTTAAGGTAGTCATTATGACCGTACTGGCTTTAATAAGGATAATATGATCATTTGATTTGAGGATATGTACCATTACATTAAATGCCCATATTTTCGGTGGTAGCTGAGATTTATTAATGTGATTATCAGTGTTGCAATCGAGACACGTAAACTTATCATTTTTTTGTTTGTCCAGACATTTAGTATCCTTATATCATACTCGAGTCAGGCCTAGTGATGTGGGGTGTGCCACGTGACCTTGCGGGTTCAATCCCCTACACTGTTTATAATTGAAATGAATATAAGGATGTGAGTGCCACTTCAAAAGGAGATTTGTGAAATCATTTTTTACATGCAACAGTGTTAAAGTTACAGAGACTTTTTTAATTTTATTTTTTTTTTTTTCGGGACAAGTAACTCTCACACTGTTTCTGTGGAGATTCAAATTTGTGAGAGTTATGTACATTGACAGTTTTCACTTTAAGAATCCAAATTCAGAAAAGACTCCTACTTTGTTAATTTGTGGAAGAGAGATCATAATCTATTCACAATACATATGTGAATATTATATATATATATATATATATATATATATATATAAACAAAGAAAAAAAGAAAGAAAGGAAAGAATTGATCGATTCGTCACTTTGAAAAAGAAAAAACCTCATTTACGTGAGTAGATTATTTTCTTTATTTTTTTTTTCTTCTTCCCATTCTTTCTTTTTCTTTGTTTATATAGATATTTATTTTGTGAATGGATTACAATATTTTTCCAGAAATTCACAAAAACTCAAATTCTACAATTTTATTTTAACAAAAATTACATTTCATAATTTTACTTTAATTAACACTTACAATCATAAAATCTCACATTTAAAGTGAGTGTATATATATATATATATATATAAATCATTATAAGACAATGGAAAAAAAGTGAAAAGAAAAGAATAAATGTTTCTTTATTTTTTTTCCCTGAGATTAGAAATGTATATATATTTTTATTTTTCCAATTTTCCGTTAGAACGATGGTGTATATATACATACCGTGAAAAGGAAGAGTTAGAATTTTAAAGGACAATTTTGTCTTAAAATAGAGAAGTTTTTAATTTCATTAAAAATAAAGCTGCAATGATTTGATATTTCAATCCATCAAAACAGCAACTGTAATATATAATTGTCTCAGGGTGGGTCAGATTAATGGAAAGAACTTCACTAATCTGATTCTGTTTTCTAGTTTTATTATATTCAAAATCGTTTTAAAAATAATATAATGAAAATTAAATAAAAGGACATGTCAATGACCTGTTATGTTTGAATAGCTCGAAAATGAGATGTTATGTTAGGGTTTTGGGAGAAGAAAAGTAATTAAGAAAGATTTATTATATTAATTGATTGATTGTTTACGTGGAAGCATGAAAGCGGTGGTTCATCACTGCTGTTATAATTAATTTAAAAAATAGTAGTAGTATTTTATTTTGGTTCAATATCACCATAATAATTTAATCTTGTCTGGCCTTGTGATCCTATTTAAAAATTAAATTACAATCCTTGCAATCAATAAATTAAGAAACAATCATTTTTTACTTGGGGTTCCAAATCTCAGTGTTAAGTACAATCTAATTGCAATTATTCTCCGAAGCCCATTTTTTGAGAGATCATGCCCATGTATGTGTCAGTAATAGAAGATAACTTAAAGTAAAGAATAATTCCAAATTATTCGGATAACACGGCAATAATCAATTGGACTTACATTGATTAGAGTGTTTGTATAGTTTAAGTCCATCAAATGAAAAAAAAAAAAATTTGAAATTTAACTTTTGGAGATTTTTTATTTATTTATTTTATTTCATAAACTTTTGGAGGCTTTATTATGCTTAAGTTTCACCTTTTGTGTTAAAGCAATAATTCAATACTATTATTGACTCAGAACATAATGCAGAAGATCGAAATGTTAATGATGGTTCTCATCTTTAATTGTAGCTAAAGGTGCTTTACATTGGCGTTGTGTTTTTTTAGAGTCCAGCTTCGAGTTTTCATATCTCTGACAAAAAAAAAAAAAAAAAAAAAAATTATTTAGCAGTTTTTGTTTATAATAGAAATGAATATAAGGATGTGAGTGCCACTCAAAAAGGAAATTTCTGAAATCATTTTTTACATTGAGATTTATTTATTTATTTTATTTTTTTAAAGTTACAAAAAAGACCCATGTTGAGTCCCTACAAAATTTTCTAAAATGAAAAAAAATTCAGAAAAGATTCCTACTTTGTTATTTATTAATTTGGTTCAATTTTTTTTTATTAATTATATTATTGTAATGACTGAACTAAATTTGTGACTCCACCACTATTTGGAGGTAATGTAAATAGAATTGGAAGTCATTTCTGATTTGTTTGGCATGTTTCTGGTTACCAAAACCAATCGTCTCTAACTTTCATTTTAAAACTCACTAATATGAGTTCTAAACGCGTTTATGCTCTCACCTTCTACGTGTATTCTTACTTTCATTCCCATCTTATGTTATTTAAATTTTATAACTTTCATGTTTTTACTCTTGAAATTACTTTCGTTCCTTACAATATAGTTATCTATATTGCAGTTTTAATTCAATAAATTTTTTTGGCTTACCACACAATTTTTGTTTTTTAAAAAAAATCAAATCAACAAGTAGTTGTGAGAAAGGGGAATGATGGGCCAAACAGAAAGTATGAGTATCTGTTATAGACGTGTATATATATACGAGTATATATATATATATATATATATAGATGTACGTGTGGTGTGTGCACATTGGGATGGGAGAATTGAATTGTCATAAAGTTCTAACTTTAGATGCCCAGACAAAAAAGGCTTATTGTCTGTTTACAGAAAATATCGACTTTTGATAGTCCCAAGAGTCACAAATGCAAATGGAACTGAGAAAAAAATGTTACATGTATATGCTAACCAGCCTAACCATTCTAAACAAGATAAGAATACTCCTATAATATATGACAATAAAATAATATATTATTATATACTCCGTAGTGTATAAGTTAATTTTTATTTTTATATTCTATATATTATTATGAATGTAATTATTAAATTAGAATTTAAACATCAATAAATGTTAGGAGTATTTTTGTTTGCTAAAATATTATATTATTTTCAATTAACTCATGATATATTTTAAAATTCCTCAAAACCTTCTTTTGTTAAAATACACACACACATATATAAAAAACTACCTTACGTGTACGTCAAGGAAATATTATTAATGCGTCATTATTGTGTATATGTTCGGTGTAATAAAAAAATATATATTTAAGCTTCGGAACATTCCTAGTTCAGTACATCATACATCATGTCAGATAATATCTATATAAGACATAATGTGTTGGATACATATTTATTGTTTAACACTCGTTTATTAGGAAAAGAAAGAAATACTCCCAACATATTTATGTATTGCGAGTAATATCACTCTTTGAAATATTAAGTTGATAAATTCTAACACAAATTAAAATGGGATCTTATGTAATATACTCCTATCACTTTATAAATGCTTTACTTTCATGTTATTTTGGATTTGGTTAATTTTTTTTTAAAATTTTTGCACTTAAGAGTACTTGAACTCTCGACTTTTTATTTTAAAAGGTGATGAAATACTACTAAATTATAAACCTTAACGTATACTTATTCGTTTTATATAAATTTACTCGTGAACAAACCATTAAATTACTTTAAACTTTTTAATGAAATTCCTGCTAATGCATCGACTGCCTAACTATATATATATATATATATATATATTTTATAGACACTAATTACAGCAGTAACAATTTGAAGAAATTATTATATAGTCTAAATTATTGGTCCAAGTCAATGCTATTTGACACATAAGTAAAATTAGATATTTCTAATACATTCGCTTAGGTTATAAATGGTGATTTACAAGGAAAAATGTAATAATTTTATGACTGAAATTTCGTATCTTTGTCTGTCTTCCAAAACCTTGAATTGGGTGAAGTGAGGATAAGGAATTTGACAAACCAATATATAAATAAATAAGTAAAGAATTTGTGTTTGTCTTCAACAGAAACTGAAAAAGCAGCAAATATTGACGAATATTAGGTCAGGTGTTACGATGGAGAATGTATTCACATCAGAATTGTCCATATTTATACGCACATGAATGAACAGTTTTGATGTATCATACTGTACACGTGAGAATGGACAGTTCTGATGACCGGTGCACGGTGCACCGAACACACCGAATATATTCTCCTTAGGACACAATTGTTGGTTCAAACAATACCAAGTGCTTAATTGAGATTTTATTCTTTCTATTGTTTTATCAGATTTAACAAAATTCATTATTAATTGCAATTTTAAGTATTTGTTAGTAATATTGACCATAATTTTCATAAAAAGTTATATCTTAAACTTGTTTGTGATGAATCTTATTTTCTTTTTTGGACCTGATTTGATATTGGATCACAGGGCATCGGCTATAACTTTTCTAATGTTAAAACATTTTTTTTGTGTTGGGCAATAGTTCCTTATTTGAAATTTGAAAACAAATGGAATCATGTGATTGGGCTTAGTCAGCCCAACTATTTAGTAGTCCACTACTTACGCCTCCACTCTGAGTCCAGGGTAACGACCACACCACCCACGGTAGCTAGCATGTGCCATAAAATATACATCACTATATTTTATTTATTTTGTTTTTTTATTTATACACACACATTTTAGACTGTGGATTGGATTAGGATACTTTGTAATTGAATTCATATAGGAAGTCTAATCCAATAAGAGTGTTGTTTTTTTTTTAAAAATAATAATAAAATTAATGTCAAAAGGGTGTATTAGAAAAAAAAATAATAATAATGATACAAATTAAGTGAGAGATGAATAAAATATGGAAGAATATTTTGATAATTATAAAGGGTCTCTCATGAACTTTTAAAATATTTATAAAAGATCTTACAAAAACTTCCAAAAGTCAAAATAATCTCTCATTTTTTTAACTCATTTGTCCAACAAGATTTATTTATTTTTAAAAAACCATGTTTAAGAATCAAAATTCGGGAAAAAATAAAAAACTCCTCTTTTGTTATTGAGTTTTTGGTATTTGTATTTTCTATACACGAATCTTGATAATTATATAAGTTGCTCTGTTGACTAACTCATTTGCCCAACAAAAATTTCAAAATTAAAAAAAGACCTGTGTCTTTTCTCCTATTGTGTGCCCGACTAAATTTTAAGAATCAAAATTCAGAAAAACTCCTTTGTTGCTATTTATTATTTTGGTTCAAAATTTCTTATCATATCATTGTCAATGGTTGCCTCCACTGAACTAAATTCCAAGCTCCGCCACTGCCTTGGATTGAGTTCGAGTCGAGCTTTTAACTCGCCCAACACATAGAGTTGCACCCTTGGGTTGTGTAAAGATTAAAATTTTTGTCAAAACTTTGAACCGCCGGATATTGAAAATGTCTCATAGAAAACTTTGAAGTTCGACAATTATGGATGAAACCAAGTCTATACTGGATTGGAATAGATAGGACATTGGAATTATTGAATTGAGAAACTTTCATCAACTACTTCTTGAGGAGGGCCAATGATGGTGGGTGAATATGGGGAAGGAGTGATATATTGGAAGACCATCTTGTTGGTGCTTTGCTTTACCACGTTAGTCCATGTTTTTGTTATATGTGGATTTGGTGCAGGGTTGAGTTTGGTTGAGCATATAATGCAGTGGTTGGGGTGGGTTGCATGCTCGTGTGAGGTTGTGGAAAGTGGTCAGTGGTATTGCTTTCTTTGGCTGTATATGCTGTTTGAGACTATTGCCTACTAAAGCATTAGTGGCAAAATTGAAATTTGAATTTAGGTATTAGTAATAGTCGTAAATTAATGGATTTAGACAAATATTGATCAGTTTATAGAAGTGTGTAATAGTATTAAATTATTAAAACAAAAAGTACCGATATGTAAAAATTATGAAACAAATGATATGTAGTGTATCAATCAATACGACGAACTGCATGCCAAATTGAGTCACCTTATTCATAACTCTGTCTTATTGTGTTCGGTCATTTCTACAATTTGAGCAGCTTCTCTTTTATGTTGGTTGGATTTGCATTGAATTTTGGAAAACAAAAAAAATCGGCATGAGTTCGCATCCCGGCATCCCCGTCCCATATATCTCAGAATGTACTGATGTACCAACGTATGGTACACCGAATTCATTCCAATCATAAATTGTAGCACAATGCATCCGCCCACCCAATATCTATTCAAAATATGCCGACTAAAGTTCCTTACAGTAAATGATATGACTCGCATTAATTACAATAATGAAACTTTATCCACTGAATGCGACTACACGGGAATTCACTGGAGAGATTTTTTTCCCTGCTGCTGCTTTCATAATAACCTGGCTCCTGTCACAACCCTTTTGATTGCAGTGGTCTAATTAATTGTATGGTCTTTTGTTTGCGCTATATTATTAATTGTTGAGACCTACTCCTTTGTTTTGACAGTCTGTTCTGGTACCTCCACCTTAAGTAGTAGTATACTAGACACAGACACTTGACAAGCTCCAACCAAACATGTATAACATATGTCATGTATTATGATTTCCCATAAGAAAGATTGAGATCAATATTAAGTACAATATAGTGAAAAACAATAATTAATATAAATGCATACAAGCACACATATAAAACCAATGAATCTAGATCCCCTATGTGACCGGTATTGCTAGTGCAAAATTTATATAATAACTTAGTTATTACATAAATGATGTAAAATTTGAGTTTCGAAACTAATATGTTTTGACTTAGAACTTGACTAGTTCAGGAATATGAACTGGGTACCTATGAATGCAATCCTCCCATGGCCCATCTGTTGGTGTCTTGATGGTTCTATTGCACTTCCAAACTGCACTATTACACTTAAAACCACTCCCAAACCCTATCTGCCAAACCCTATCTCCCTTCTTCATTTTCTCCTTGGCCTCAATATAGCTCAACTCATACCACAGCGACGACGATGACGTGTTACCAAACCGGTGCAACGTCATCCTCGACGCCTCCACGTCCACAGCCGAGAGCCGGAGGCTCTTCTGCAGCTCGTCGATCACCGCCCTACCACCCGCATGGATGCAGAAGTGCTCGAAAGCCTTCTTGAAGTCCGGAACATAAGGCTTCCACTTATTGTTGAACACTTTCCTGCCCACCAGTGTGGCAAGAAACAAGAGTTGCTCAGAAGCAGGAAGGACAAGAGGCCCAATGGTGGTGATATTCGACTTCAAGGCCTCGCCGGCGATCGTCATGAGATCGATGGACAGCGACATCCCTACGTGACCTTGAGGGTCCTCTTGTTGGTGGACACAGTGATAAGCATTGTCATGAGCTCCTTCGTGTGTTCGAACTGCGTGAACCAGCCGGTACTTTGCTCGATTCCGGTCGGACCACCGGTTCGACAACAGAATAGCAGCTCCACCAACTCGGAACAGACAGTTAGGAAGAAGCATTGATCTTTGGATTCCCAAGTACATATTTGGCGTTATGGTCTCTGTGCTCACCACAACAGCATTTGAATCTGCATGAACTTTAAGAAGGTCATTAGCTAGATTAATGGATATCAATCCTGCACTACAACCCATTCCAGAGAGGTTGAAGCTCTTTATGTTGCTTCTGAGCTTGTACTTGTTGATGATCATGGCTGACAAAGACGGTATGGGAGAGAAGACACTGCAGTTCACAATGAGTATGTCGATGTCTATCGGCCCAAGTCCGGTCTTGTTGAAGAGTGAATCCATGGCTGAGAATATAACGGTCTCGGCTTCTTCTCTTGAAGCCTCCATACTTGGGGTTGGTGGGATGTACAATGATGCCGGAGGGAAGCTAGTCTCTTCGCCGAGGCCGGAGCGCTCCAGAATTTTGATTTGGAACTGAGCGGCTTTCGGGCATGAGCTGAAAGCAATTGTTGCATGCTCCTTGAAGGTTGAGAAGGGGACTCGGCAAGTGAGTGGCTTGAAACAAGCGTAGTCGACTAGGTATGTAGTCCGGCGACGCTTGGACCGGAGGTGGACGGTGGCAATATATACGACGAGAAGAGATAGACAAGCAATCTGAATGGGTTGAAAGCAGAAAGAGTGCATTTCAATGAGGCTAAATAACATGAGGGATAAGAGCAAGAGAGTGAAAATGTGGTTGACAAAATATTGGTAGCTTATTTTTACATACTTGAATGGGATGGAGTTGGAAAACTCCTGCATCTTTTGATGAGAGAGAACGAAATCTAGAGAGAGATAGAGGGGTAAATTTGAGTTGAAAGAGATAATGGGATTCAGAGGGAGGCTAGGGTAAGGATTTAAAGGGTTCCATAACATGGTAATGAATGGAGGTAGATGAGAAGATTAAATGAAAAACCACATTTGACCAATATTAATAAATTAGATATGTACTTCATGCATATGAATATATAGTTTCTAGTTTTCATACCTTAGAATATGCTAGAACAGTGTTTTCATTACACTGAATTTGAAACAAAATCTATCAGCAACGTGAAGTTTAGTATTACCTCCATTTTATATTAATTATTTATTTCGAAAATTTTGACTCACAGCCATTTTTTATTTTTGAATCATTTATATCTACAAATTTGAGAGAAATAAATATGGTAGTAGACATTACGAAGACATTCAACATTTTATAAATAAATGAGGATTGAAAAGTTTATCAAACAAAACTATTAGTTGTGATATGACGGCTACCAATTCCCATGAAAAAAACAAAAAAAGATATGATGGCTACCAAGCAAACATTTTGACTGAGAAAATGAAATAAAATGAAGATCATAATTTAAGCCAGACCTTAGTTTTCTTTAGCTTGGATTAAGTTTGAATTGGTTGGGTTAAACAAACCTTTTTATTCTAGAAAAAAGTTACTAAATAATTTCCATTAATTAAAAAAAAAGGAACATACCCAACATGCCTACTATCTAGATGCAACTGGTATTACTAGCTGTCCTTGCGCGCACACACACAAGTAGCATTATCAGCTGGAACTGGCATGGAATCATTACTTCTGGGGGAGGAATAGTGACAGGAGAGAGAAAGTGAGAACAATGCCTACTGTCCGCAGATGGCTGTGTGGTCCTATATCACCTAATTAAATAACTTTATTTTATATACTAATGAGAATCATTGCTTGATTAAGCTTTTTAATGCTTTAATATCAGTATTAGTGAGTTCGAGTTTTTAAAAGAGAAATGAGATTTGAAGGAATTTCAAAGAAAATATTGTAACATTGTGAATTTATAACTAACTAATCACCTATCAAAATTACTCTTCTACAAACCATTTTAATGCTTTACAAACAATGTCTTTCATATTTTTAAGGTCTCTTGTCTTAAAATGGTACAAAATTTATTTATTTTTTTCAAATTCAATTTTACAAATTAAAGTTTATTCCAAACCCGCAAACAAAATTATATTTTAATTACATTCCAACTCCTTTGTCCAATTTCAATTTCAAATCCCAAATGAATTACAACTTTCAATTTCAAATCCCAAATGAATTTAATTCCAAAAAAAAGGATATGTAACTTGACCAATAGTAAACCAAATGTTGTGTAACTAGGTGATATTTGTTGGGAAAAAAATAAGAAAAAAGAAGAAGTAACAATGTTTGCTTTTGTTACGGTGAATTACTTAACAAAAAATTTTTGAGTGGTTATTTATGCACAAGTGCGTGCCCATTCCATAGATAGATGAACCAATTACAAAAAATAGGCTTAACAATTAACTGCAACACATCCATGCAAGAATCATTTTTCATTTTTTTTTTTTTTAAATTGCTAGTATTTGGAAACCTAGAAATTGTGAGTTGTGCAATAGAAGATAACTCGTGTAGAAAGTTTTGTATTTTAAAAACAGATTTGTGTCTTTCTAACTTTACTTATTTTAGTAATTAATCAATTAATCTTGTGTAAGATAAAATAAAGTAAAGTAAATAGAGTTAGAGATGACACTAGAATTTTTAGCGAGGAAACCCCAATTGGTAAAATAGACCAACTGTTTGCGGAAAAACCTTGTGGACTATGCAGTCCAAAGTAAACCGATCCACTATGTTTGAAAAAAAGTATAATGGATTTTGACTCAGGCTCACACCCTATCGTTCTATCAAACACTAATCGCTGACAATCCTTTGGCTTTGCAACGTCCTGTCCAACCGCACTTGACCTCAGGCTTACTCTTGATGTAATACCCCGTAATTTTAAAGAATGTATTTAAATTAATTTTGTGTTAGGTTAATTAATTTTATTTATTTGTGCATACTACATTATTTTATTAAATTCATTTAATTGTGCATGTAAATTAATTGTGTATGTTAAAATAGTAAATTTATTCATTTAATTGTGCATGTATTATTTTAATTACTTTTATTTGTTGATTATGTTTAATTAAGCAATATTAGTTAATTAGAGTATTATATTTGTGTTATAAAGTATTATGATAATATAATATATTATTTTGTAATAACAATAATAATAATTATATTAGTTTAATAATAATAATAATAAGAATATAATAATAATAATAATAAAAGTTTATTAATAATAATATTAGTAATAATAATAATAATAGTTATAATAATAATAATAGTATTAAACCAAAGTCATGATGAAACTAGAGATTAAGATAGAATTGCATCAATGGTTATGGTTGGAATTGAAGCCATATGGTTGGGAGGATGGTTAGTTGATGAAAAAATAAGATATTTGTAATATTTATATTATATATTTTGTATATAAATTAACTAGCTTGCCTTAGAAGAAAAAAAAAAAAGGGAGTTAGAAGCAAAGTATAAATTCGAGAGAGCTATTTTATAAGAGTGAAAGGAAAAGAGAAAGAGAAAGAAGCTTGGACCGGTGTAGGCAATTTTACCCGACTACGCGCAGACCGGCGGATTTATTTTAAATCCAAAAAGGCAAGTTATTATCTACTTTTCCCCTTTGAATTAATAAATTAATTGTTTAGCTTATTTTTATGCATAGAGCCAAGGTTTGGAGGTTAATAAATTATTAATTTTATTTTATTAAATTAATGGAATTTTAATTATATAGGATGGTATATATTTATTTAATGTCCTATGAAATTAATAATGGCTAAAAATAATTAAATAAGACTTTAGGGATTTTTCTAGAATTTTCTAGATTTTCCCGGGCATTTTCTGCAATTTCCGGCGACCTTCCGGCGAGTTTTCCGGTCGCCGGCAGTGGGGGAGACGACCGGAGTGATCCGGTGCGACGCGGCGCACCATAGGAGGTGTACGCGCGCATCCTGGCCATTAGTGGAGTCTGATTGATCCGGTGCATCGCGTTCCATGATACCGCGGTACACCCGGATCCGTGGACGTTGGATGGAGGAGATGTAGGTGGATTGCTCCGGTGTGGCGCGCACGTAGGAAATCTGATGCAACCGACCAACCAGCACACGCCGCGTCAGCAAGGCACCCCTAGTGCGCGCGTGGCAGCGCGTGCGCGCGCGTGGGACTCTCCAGACGCGCGTGGGAGCGCGTGGCTGATGCCAGACGCGCGTGGAGGCGCGTGGGAGAGTGGGGAAGGTTGGGCTGCGCGTGGGGAGGCTCTGGGAGGCGCGTGAGGGCGCGTGTGGGGTCCCTACAGCTGCTGGAAATTACCAGAATACCCCTAGGGCCTGTTTTGTAAATTCCAGAACCTTAAACTTGGATTTTTAGGTACTGTGTTGGTAATTACGGGTTTAACGGGCCACGAAATTATTATTTTAACACCCGTTACTTATTCTTATGGCCGATTAATCTTTTCTAAGCATTTATTGGCTCGTTCGCAGTACGGGTACTAATGTGATTTATTTAACGACATTGTTAAATATAAATAGTGTTATTATCGTATTTAATGGTATCAAACATTACTGTTAAATTAAATAAGGCCATGGTTTTAGTCAGATAAATTATCCATGATATCTTATAGGATGTTTATACTGTTAATTGATATATAAACCATGATTATTATGCTGTGTGCATTTCAGGAAATAAATGGACTGTTTAATTATGTCGCATTTATATTATATGGATGTGTTGCCATATAGAACCATATGAGCTGGCTAATAAGTTTAGACTCATTTATACCTTATGCATTCGTTGCGATAGACAGATGTGTGGCTGTCGGGGTATGTGGTTTAATATTATTGGCATGTGTTGCCTAATTGACATACTCGGTATATTTATTAATGTTATTGGCATGTGTTGCCTAAATTGACATTCTCGGTACATTTATTAATATTGTTGGCATGTGTTGCCTAATTTATATGCTCAGTATATTCATCAGTACTTTGCGAGGTGTTATCACTGTGTAGTTCGTTATAGTCTGTGTTGTCAGTACCGTACACCATGTATAATAGCTGATTTCCCGGGTAGGGAAAGGCGACACTTGACCACCTAGTGTGAGTTTAAGTGATCACCGTCTATTCTGGTTGAGGTCATGTTATACATCGGATAGTTCCCGTAGGATGTATACAGATATAGTACTCAACCGATTCATAATGATTAATTTATTTGATTCTCTGATTTGGGTCATAGTAGAGAGGACTTGCTCGTGGGGTTGACCCACCATTGTTGTTATTTCAGGATACGGTCAGTATCCGTTTCAAGGCTGAGGTTAGCAGTGTGGGACCATCATCCGAACTCATCTACTCTTACGATCCAGTGCAGGGTAGAAGTTTTATGTAATACTTCAGTTTCAGTTTTTATTTACTTTTGACGTTGAACTCTCAGGGTTATATTTAGGGATCCCTGACGTAGGATTTCCAAGTTGTAATAAAGTACTGCATTAAATAAAGGATGGATGGATGTTGTATGATTTAATGTTTCTTTCCTGTCTAAATTCTTTTAATTCCATCATTTTGTATTCCATGCTTGTATATTGCCAATTGTTTTTGATATCCCTCGTTTTTCGTGTATAAGCCTGATCAACTTATGCGTGGAAAATGTGGGGGTGTTACACTTGATCTCTGTAAAAGGATCGCTGGTAGATCAAACAATACTTATCGAATGCTTTGACACTTTCAAAGTGTGATCGCTTTACCACTGTTTTTCAAGATCTGAATTTGATATAGAAGAAATAGATCTGTTTTCTCTGATCGTTGTAGATGCAATATTCAATAAATTTTGAACACGATCAGGAATTGAACAACACTCTAAACTCACTTTTGTGTATATGTGTGTGTTCTAGAAAGAAAGACAGAAAATAAGATTTGATTTTCTGTAAAAATATCTCTCTAATAGGCTTTC